CATGTTGCTGAATTTAACACATCACGCCATTGTTTCAATTTCAATTTCATGCTATGCTAAATTGCACTGTAACCAATTAGTATCCAATTGTAGGCTGACAATCATCTTTACTTTTCACTATGCCGTAGTTGGATTCATATCAAAGCTGTTCATTTTAACATTCTTTTTAGACAATCATTTTTTTTTTTTTTTATGTTCATGCTTTCCGAATTACAGATAGAAGATAATTCTCATACAAAACTTCCAGGATCTGAATGCTTCTTGACTTCAAATAGAATTTTCCATATAAGAGTGAAATGCAGGCCGCTATTAAAAACATGATGTGGTGATTTGTAAGGAATGGCAGACATGCAAAGGATATGTTTATATTCTATAACAAGTTGGTTTGTTTGTTTTGTGATTTGTGGTTCTGACCATAGCGACCCTCAAAAAAGATGATTTATGGGAAAGAAAGAAAGAAAGGAAGTTAAAATAAACAAGCCGGACCAAATGCTGGACATACATAATCGAATGCTAAAAAGTAACCAAGGGGCGTGGCTTGGAGGCCGAGGATGATGGCGGCGTAAACCCGGAGCTCCCCGACAGGCTCAGATAAAATCCTAGTCAAAGAACTAACCATCGAGCAATCATGGCAGACCCGGACCTCCCCAGATCCCGAACCGAATTGGGTACAGCTGATCCGGGCACTCCTGACCAAGCAAGACCTGAAGGAGGACAATTCAGAACTGCGGACCTCCATCACTGCGGAGCTGCACTCCCTCAGGGGGGATATCCAGGGCCTACACACCAAGGTATCCCAACTGGAAGCGGAATGTGACCACCTGATGTCCGCCCAGTCTGCTACTACAGACACCCTACATGGCCACACGGCACAGATGAGACAAATGGCTTTACATATGGAAGATCTGGATAACCGTGGCCGACGGCAAAACATTTGGGTGAAGGGTATCCCCGAAGATGTAGATCAAACAGCGCCAATCCTGGACACCCTCAGAGAACTATTCAATAGAATCCTGGGCCGCCCAGTGGCCACCACCATTGAATTCATCAGAGCACACTGAGCACTGAGACCGAGGGGCCCACAGGAGGCACCCCCAACGGACGCGATCTGTTGCCTGGCCAACTTCCAGCTTAAGGAAGAAATACTGAGCAAAGCGCGCGGAATGGAGAGAGTCACACTAAACGGAGCTGAAGTACAGCTTTACCCAGACCTCTCACCAGCTACCCTGGCATACCAACGGGTGATGAGGCCCCTCACTAGAGTCCTACAAACAAACAAAACCAGATACCAATGGAACTTCCCAACCGGGCTACAGGCCATCACTGCTAAGGGACCCTTCACAGTCCGACACCCTGAGGACTTAAGCGACCTAATTGTGGGACTTCAACTCCCACCCATCAATATGACATGGCCGGACCCCCTTACCTTCTACATGAAGAATCCTGAGACCATGTGCTTCCACCTCTGCCCCGCAGAAGCAAGGGGTCCCGCCAGCAGGCCACCCGACTCTCGGGGACCGCAGCATAAGAGGACCGGAGACGGACGCAGTGTATAACCACAAGTAAAACCCCATGAGACTTACTTCCCGCTCAGGACACCAGCCCCCTGCGAACACTTTGGGGCCTAAGCAGGCCAACACGCAGTACTAATTGAAAAGGGGGGGTGGGGGAGGGAGATGCGGGAATACTGGGCCACCCGGCTATTGATCTACAGGCTCCCTGTAAAACTGCATGTTACCTGCACACCGATAGGGGGAAGGGAACGGAGGGAAACTGCAACGACAGGGGCCCCATGCAGACAGGTTCCATTATGGGGGGGGGAGGGCTGGAGAGAGCAGGGAACCTGGGGGGAGATACTTAGAGGAGAGACCACACTGACAGGCAAGGAGGATAAGGGATAAAGACAAAGAGCAGCCTGTCCTGGCCCAACGAGGTGGGAGGGACGTCCAACCCAGACTGGGCCTAACCGCCAGGGCCCCGGAAGCCCTGTGATGACCCAGCCGAGCAGGTGGTGGGCCCCGCCGGTGGGGTCACTCACACAATAGGAATACATGTGAATTCCGGGGGGGGGGGAGGAGGAGTACACTGGGCGAACAGGCACTGCAGGCCTAACCATTGCCTCTGGGGCCTGCTTGCACCGGACCACCATACCCATACAACACCCACCTCACATGCAGACCCAACCCAAGACTAAAATAATAGGGAACACCTGAGGGGGGCTGGAGGTGAGGAGGACATCCCATGGAGGGAACGGGGACCTGATTAGAGGGGAGGGCATGGAGGGAACAGAGATGAGTAACCCAAACACTCTGAGATGGGCACCTGCACTATGGTTTGCGCTGCTGATTTATGCACACTAGTTTGCAAGTTAATGTTTTACAGCATATGTTCTGATGTTCTGTTACAATGTGAATATACGCATACACTGCGGACACCCGCAACCACATTACGAAACTTGACCCGGAGCTAAGGGGTTACTTGCCCCACCGACGAGGATCACAATGACGGCACGACTCTCTTTGACAGAGCCGATAAGAGGATCCATAGGGATCCGGCAGACCGAGACCGAGACACTACCCAAGGACTACCGCCAACCACGTGGACACGGGGAGGTCTTGATCCGCCCTGAGTCCCCCTGTCTCCTTCTACAACCTTACAGGGCACAGCGACCTCAGATACATGAGTGGAATCCACGGACCACAGGAGACCGCGGGCTTACCACTCCCGGTCGCTGACACCTTTACATCACCCTACGGTGACAAGAACACACGCACACACCTCACACCCCCCTTGCTTCCCCCATCCAACATCCCCACCCAGACGAACCTACCTAACAAACACTTCCCACGACCTCCAGACCCGACTGTGATTTGCAGACCAACTGACGCGGCCACCACTGTGCCACGGCACAAATGTCACTGATACCAGACTGCCTTACTATCCTCTCCATTAATGCCAGATGCCTCAACAAACCAGAGAAGCACTTGGGGGCACTGAGAGACTTCCACACTAAATGATCCTCAATAGTACTGATACAAGAGACGCACTTTAAGGAAGGTTCCAGGCCGAAATTGACCAACCACCATTTCCCAACGGGATACTATAGCGA